TGTACAGTAATTTCATGCATATTGTAGAAAAGCTAAGATAAGAAGAGTGGGATAATGCCACAGCGTTGGCTTGCCAAGATTAGCATTCCACCACGGACTAAACCACCAGGCGACAAACGATGTCAACACCGGAACCATGGCGAACAAGTTATTGCTTTATCAACGTTCATCCACTGGAACAGCTTTCATGTGTGGCTGTTTACAACTTCATTGTCAGCGATGATAAGACTTGTCATCTGAATTTATATCCAGCAATGTACTTTTATTAGGGCAAATCTCACCGCAGTAAGACAGTTTATTCAGCGTTAAGAATTTACTAGTGTGATGTAGTTCTGAGAACTATTTAAAAGTTGTTCGTGTTTGTAATATCTCACACGCTGTGGTAATTCCGATCATATGTATGGAGGTTTGGTGGTGGGGGGGGGGGGGGGGGGGGGGGGGGCGGTTTTACAATATTGTAGATAAAAAGTGGGTTGAGGGGGGGGGGATAGGCGGCCATAATTCCTTCATAATAAAAGGCAAGGTTGCTGGAAAGATGGGTTAATCTTGTCATCCCTTATGGGTTACTACCCGTGTACCATGATGTTGATCCGTTGTTCAAACAATCTACATATGGTTACATGTCTTCTTAGCCTTCTTAAAGGGTTACTGCGGGAAAAGGGGAAAGCGGGACCGATTCTTCCCCACACCTTTATGGGTATTGTGTATACAATAAAGTAAAAGAACATTTCCATTGGGCATATAGGGCAAGACCTATATTCTATAGACCAATTAGTACTCGGTGGGTGATGTGGTCAACATCACGTCCGCCACTTTGATTTCCCAGGACCGTTCCTTGTACCCACTCAAGGCTTGGTCGACATGAGAGTCATTTTTGAAAGGGGGGAAAAAGTCCGGCTTCGAACCAATGTCCTTCGGCTTCGGATCCACAGGCAAGCATCTAGCCACTACACCACGGCATCTCTCTAAGATAAGTGTAAGGATAAGTATGCGTATAAACTGTGCGTTTTTCAAATATCTAGGAGGCTATTGCGGTATTTTCTATGATCGCCCTGTCAACAACTCTGCCTTGTTGTTCTAGCCAGGAAACAATTAAGCCTGATAACACAAAGCAATAGATTGTCAGTTACAGTTAGGACAGACGTAACACGATGTTTATTCTATTTGCAGTCAAGTGAAGTCGCCTCCGACAAACAGCTAATACAAGGTTTGTGGGGGAGGTGGGGGAGACTTTTTTTTAAGGAATGGGAGCCTTAAAGGACCCGAGCCGCTTGGTTTAGGCGTCTATGCTGTCCTCTTCTTGATGATGTCATTACAGTCATCCTTGCCCTCTCTTCTTCGACTATCCCTCATTGTTTCTTGACGTATATAGTCTTTGCTAACGGATCATGTCTCACCACGTGTCCGAACTAAACTAGCTTGCGACCTTCTCTCTCTCTCTCTATAAATATATATATATATATATATATATATATATATATATATATATATATATATATATATATACACTGTGTTTCGTATAGACCAATCTACAGTGGATTCCTGTGAAAACAGAAAACACGATCAGAGACAAAGCCAAGCATGTGAACTACAGACAGTCCGCAAGCAAGGAAGAATTATGTAGCAGCTGTATGGAGCAGTTTGTAAGAGAAATGATGTGATTACATGGCAGGGAATAGATTACTGTCTATCCCTACCACCTTATCAGAGGAATATAATACATGTACTTCAGGCAGGATATCTGAAGGGGAAACAAGTATGTCTTCTCAACAGGAAATCTGGAAGGGAAAACAGCGCAGGGACCAAAAGAGAGAGTAAGATACATTGTAAAAAACATGGGAACAATAAGTAGAGGTACTCTGAGATAGTTGTTGCATTGGAGATGTATACATGTGTGTGTGTACACAAACATTACACTCTCAAACACGGCTTAGGTCACCAGAGGCCCATCTCCCCCTAAAATATTTGTAAGCAGACAAAGGGACCCTCCCTCCATGTTTTGTGTCGTCGCCCCTGCTCTTGTAGATGCACTCGGGACTTTTTTTAACAGAAAAAAGGTACCTGTACTTAGCTTAGAGTGTCACAGGTGCCAGTACTTAGCTTAGAGTGTCACAGGTGCCAATACTCAGCTTAGAGTGTCACAGGTGCCAGTGCTCAGCTTAGAGTGTCACAGGTGCCAGTGCTCAGCTTAGAGTGTCACAGGTGCCAGTGCTCAGCTTAGATTGTCACAGGTGCCAGCACTTAGCTTAGAGTGTCACAGGTGCCAGTGCTCAGCTTAGAGTGTCACAGGTGCCTGTTCTCAGCTTAGAGTGTCACAGGCGCCTTTACTTAGCTCAGAGTGTCACAGGCGCCTTTACTTAGCTTAGAGTGTCACAGGTGCCTGTTCTCAGCTTAGAGTGTCACAGGCGCCTTTACTTAGCTTAGAGTGTCACAGGTGCCTTTCTCAGCTTAGAGTGTCACAGGTGCCAGTACTCAGCTTAGAGTGTCACAGGTGCCAATACTCAGCTTAGAGTGTCACAGGTGCCAGTGCTCAGCTTAGAGTGTCACAGGTGCCAGTGCTCAGCTTAGAGTGTCACAGGTGCCAGTGCTCAGCTTAGATTGTCACCGGTGCCAGCACTGAGCTTAGAGTGTCACAGGTGCCTGTTCTCAGCTTAGAGTGTCACAGGTGCCTGTACTTAGCTTAGAGTGTCACAGGTGCCTGTACTCAGCTTAGAGTGTCACAGGTGCCAGTACTCAGCTTAGAGTGTCTCAGGTGCCAGTACTCAGCTTAGAGTGTCACAGGTGCCAGTACTCAGCTTAGAGTGTCACAGGTGCCAGTACTCAGCTTAGAGTGTCACAGGTGCCAGCACTCAGCTTAGAGTGTCACAGGTGCCAGTACTCAGCTTAGAGTGTCACAGGTGCCAGTACTCAGCTTAGAGTGTCACAGGTGCCAGTACTCAGCTTAGATTGTCACAGGTGCCAGTACTTAGCTTAGAGTGTCACAGGTGCCAGTACTTAGCTTAGAGTGTCACAGATGCCAGTGCTCAGCTTAGAGTGTCACAGGGGCCTGTACTTAGCTTAAAGTGTCGCAGGTGCCAGTGCTCAGCTTAGAGTGTCACAGGAGCCTGTACTTAGCTTAGAGTGTCACAGGTGCCAGTACTCAGCACAAAGTGTCTATTACAGCAGCAGCAGCCCTGAAACAAATGATGCCTACAAAAGGTGCCGGTAATGTGTATCATTGCATACCATCATAAAAAAGCCCTGGGTGTACTACTTCTACATGGGCCAAAAAAACAACCCTTATAAGAAACAAGTACAGTATCACAAATCCGTTCTAGTTCCAGACTAAAAGTAAAAACATGAACAACACATTGATTAGTATACCTGAAAAAATTCTACCCACACACAGCGGATTATCTGGGACACACAGAGTATAATATAGAAATAATTACCAGTAAACAAACATTGCCACAATAAACATTCCTTTAATTAAACTCACAATTTAAGTATAATTGCTTGGAGCAAAACTGCTACTTTAGCTGTCTAGTGACTCTTTTGTTATATAATAAATAACTTAAAGGAAGCAAATATTATATTGTATGTTGATAGCTACGAGCAATTAAATTATGTCGTCCTTTTCTGTTTCACTTTCTTCTGCCGATTATCTCCCACTGCAGCACTGTTCCTCAACCAGCTCTCCCAAATTTTTTTTACTAGTTCATGGCTTATTGGATTTGGCAGTTGTCGAGTTAAGTTGAGTCAAGAATTGACATCACAGCACTCAGGGAATTCCCATGCATGCTCTGTCCTTATCTTCAGGAGCCAGCGCAGAGTTCCAATACTGGGGATTTGGCAGCTAAAGTTGCCTAGCGTAATGTTTCCATTTGGTGGTCTGCAAACCCTTGGGGGTCCTTGGACAAAGTTAAGGGATCCGTGATATCCTTTTGTTTTTAAATCTCATCTGTAGAATTCAATCCCTGGTGTGTTTCTCATATTTATAAATTATTGTAAGTTTTTCAGTACCACTATTAAAAAGTATTAGTTCCATGGCAGATCTGCAGAAATTAAAGTGGTCCACAGATCTTTAACTGGCAACCACTGGCTAAGGGGGTGAGCTACTTAGTCTCACAATAACACCTGTTAGCTGCCTTTTATGACATGCATAGTAAGCCACAGTGTTACTATTCTTTGCTTCCATTATTATGGCAGGGCAGGATTAAGTCATTTTGATGCCCTAAGCACCTAAAAGATTTTGGTGCCCCCCACCCCTCCACACCAGAGCGATCTCAACAGCATTATGGGCCCCTGAGCAAACCTGTGTGCAAAGACCCCTACGACTGCCATTCATAAGAATGACATATAAATGGTCACTTGACATACACAGATTAGCATGGGGCCCCTATGCTTGATGGGTCCTCAGACAAGTGCCTAGCATGCCCATGTGTTAAGATGGCGCTAACAGTTTACTTCTGTTCTTGATCAAACTGCCTTATTTTCTTATTATTCAATCCATGATATTCTTTGTATCTTGCTCAGAAACTACATTTATGCCAACATATCACTTGTTAGCTCTCATAGGCATAATACAGCATACATTCTATGAAGTATTTATACATATTTTTCTTCTTACTGCAACAGCCAGCTTTTCGCTAATGAGTATTTCTTCCATCCTGCAAAAAAAGCAGTGAGGAATATAATATTGAAAAATAAAAATCATTCACTGAAACACATGAAGGTGTAGATCATATCCTAATTCAAGATTCACAAATAATTAAAGACTTCACTTTGACAAAATTTATCCCATGTGGCTTGGCCTCTGTCCACAGATCAGCTGATCACCCACAAGAATGTTGTTCAAAGCAAGAACACCACAGCCCCAGTAAAAACTCCTAGGGATCTTTGAAATACTTTCACTCACAAACTGAAGAACAGAGTCCCACAAACTGAAAAATGGAGTCTAAAATCACACCCATAACTTTAACAGCAGGAGGCAAACAGCTTAACCACTTCACTGCAAAAACCTAAAGTCCTAATTCAAGTTTCACAAATGCCCGAAGAGAAGCATCTTCAATCTTCTCCACTGCTGCTTTAGCTTGCTCTCCCCCATCACTATAATAATCTTTCAACTCCTCAGCATATTTGATCCACACACAGTTGACACATCCACTCATGCAGCAAGTGACAGGAGGTTCTGGTGGAGGACCTTTACCTGGAACAACTGAAATGGTTTTCAAAGCACTCGGAGGCTGCGTTTTCTCATCCATCATGGCTGCGAGTGCAGGCTCAAGATGCTTCTCTTCATCAGGAAGTGAAGACGTTAAGTTCGAAACACAACTTTGTGAACTCACTGGTGAATGTTCATCACTGTCATCTTCATTTCTCTTTTCTATATCTAACTTTTCCTTTTTACCAATATCAAAGCTGTCTTGACCTTGTGAGTCACTTTCGGATGAGAAAAGTCTGGCACTGGTATACAGGTAGGCACATAATGACAACCTTAATTGCGTCTCAGTTTGTGGGACACTGTGGATGCCTGGCTCACTCTGCATATTTGTGACAGCCCGTGTGAACACCGAAACAACAACTCTGAGAGTATGTCTATGGCGAGGTATTATCATTGTAAAGTCAGTCTGTATAAACTGGCAACTTTTTAAACAGGATGGATGATAATGAACTCAGCCTGTAGTTTTAAACTCATATGGTCTATATGTTTCACATGTCACTGTATTCTCCAAGTATTTTCTCCTGGTGAAAAGAAAGCAAAAGAACTATATCTGGAAATATATTAATAACATCAATTATTTTTGTGTTGTAGAAATGAGAAATGTCTGGTATCTATTATTTCTGTATTGTGGAGTATACAGGCTACTAATATAAATTAATGTGATGTTGAAGAGGATACATAATATAAGATGAATTAACAGAAAACAAAACAACATAAAATGTCTTCTATGAATCCTGAATGTATCAAGAAGAGACGTGGTCAGAAACAATAATTTCAGGAAACATTTTGGGATGAAATCAGTAATAAATTACATCAAGATACAAACTGGTCCCTTAAGGTGTTAAGATTACCACCAGATAGTGCATCATACCTGTCACCCAAACCCCGAGAAACAGAGCTAGAGATCACCAGTACAAGCGATGGATGAATGAAATATCTACATCTGTGAATACAGCAACTATACAACAAACTAAGGCTCATACCAGAGCCTCTTCTAAACCTGCTGACGGCAGAGCAGCGATACAGCACATAAGAAAGAATATAATTTAATGCAGTGTTGTAGAGCATTGTTCTTCAATCGGTGAGCTGAGGCCCACAGAAAATTCCAGGTGGGCTGAAAAAATGACTGCCTTATCATGTAATGGCTAGGGTGTGTATATATATATATATATATATATATATATATTTTTTTTTTTCTTCTCAGGATTGCTGTCTGTAGGATTAACATCTGAAGGATGAGAGTCAAACTGGTACAAATCCTAGAAATACCATTCAATGGCATAACAAAGTTACGTAAGTGTACCCGACAGTTAAGTAACCTACAGTCCAGTCTGGGCTGGGCATTGTTGATTGTTGTTGTTTGTTAAATTAAGAATCAACATCATAGCACTCTGGACACCCCCATAAGCACTCTGTCCCCATCTTCAGCAGCAAGCGAAGATTTCCAATTCCGATAGAACCAATAACTGTCTGACTGCATATCCATCCCGCCCTTCCCTTGAGTGTTGAGCGTCGGCCAGATGCACTGGTAACTTCTCGCAGTGCCATTCTCCTCACACCGTAATGATCTATTTGCTCTTCCGCACTGTTCACTCCCTCCTAAAGGGCCTTCACAACATCTAGCTTGTCATACATCAATTCACCACCATGGGCTTGGAATAAGAACTATATGGCTCATGTTGCAGTGTCTTCGAATTTAACTGGCACATTCTGAAAAATTCCTAAATGGCCTTCACAACATCTAGCTCGTCATAAATCAATTCACCGCCATAGGCTTGGAATAAGAACTATGGCTCCTGTTGCAGTGTCTTGGAATTTAACCGGCACATTCTGAAAAACTGTCTACATGAGAGGCATTTGCTGGTTTTGCTATTTAGAATAACAGATGTAAGAGAAACGCTTGTATTTTGTCTCAGTGATTGTGTAACTGGTTTCCTTGTTAAAACAATAATATGGTAGTAGTGTAGTCATGAAAGTTTGAGCGGATGCTATTAACGAGAGGTGAATAATAAATGTGAGTTCTCTTGGTGAATATTACTAGAAGACTGTGACTCATGACCAGTTAACTGTTTTGTCCCTGGGAGGACTTATATGGCTGTAAGCAGGAATACTGTGTGATCTGATTCCCTCTTTATAAGGATAGTGGAAAAATTAAGTTGTGCCACTATTTTTCAGAAATTAGGAGAATTATTCTCTATGGAAATTTCCATACCACTTGATGATTATACTCATCGTCGTTATCATCTTGCAGTTATTTATTCTGTTAAATTTCAAATTGGCAACAAAAAAGGTTAGCCAGCAAAACTTTTAACCTTCTTTGGTAGAAGCAAGGACAATTTCGGGAGAAAAGTGATAATGCTATATTAAACATGCCAAGTACTTGTGCCTATTTTAAGGCGTAGGACTGGAGCACGGCTCAGACTGGAGCAGATGCATCGCAGTGTGTACAGACAGGGCTGCAAGCATGACTAGACACCGCTCATGTGTTGTGGTGAAAATAAAGTAAGTCGTGCACCCAGAAGCTCTGTTGTTCACACACTGCATGATCCACAGGGAGTACCTTGCTGCCCAAATGCTTTCTACAGAACTAAACAGTGTGACAAATGATGCGTTGAAGATCATAAATGAAATTCGCAGTCAGCTTTGAACTCGAGGCTGTTCACGACACTGTGTGAGAGTATGTACTCAAATCAGTGAAATTTGCTCCTTTATGCAGAAGTGAGGTGTTATCGAGAGGATGGATTTGTGTACACCTTTTCGAACTAGGAAGGAAGTAAAGCAGTTTTTGCCAGAGCACAAATCTGACCTGTTATTGCCTTTGTTGAATGAGAAATGGGTGGCTAAGCCGGCATATGTGGTGGACATATGTAGCCTCCATAAAGAACTTAACATGTCTCTTCAGAGGACTTGTACAAATGATTTTACACTTAGAAATAAACTAGATGTGTTCAAAGGGAAGTTGGCTCTCTGGGATGATCATGTAAAAGATGAAGATACAGAAATGTTTCCACTTTTAGAATTTTATTCATTTCTGCCGATTTCAACTCGGCACAAGATGAGTGATATGGTCAGCATCACGACGGCTGCCTTTACTTCCCAGGACTACACCCAGTACCCACTCAAGACTGGGAGTCAAGGTCATTTTTAAAAAAAAGTCCGGCTCTGACAGGGAGTGAACCCACGATCTTATGAGCCGCATGCAAGTGTTTAGCCGCTATGCCACGGTGACTCCCATTCAACGTAGTAGTCAGCATTTAAAGTATTAAAAGATAAAAACTAATTACTTTCCTGAAAATGAAGATACTCATACAGACAACCACTAGATTAATAACCCTTTCTTGGGAGATATAAGATCATGTGCACTTAATCATCATGATAAAGAAAAGCTGATCACTTTGTCTCCTGATGTACTCTTGTGTCCAGACATAAAATACAATCATTATCTCAGTTTTGGATATCGCAAGAAAACAATATCCATCTCTGACTTAACAGGGCTCTCTGCTGTTCATTTTCTTGACTTCCTATTTGTGTGAAAAGACTCTCTGCCACATTAGTAATAAAAATCAAGCAAAAAAAATCCAATGGATGTTACTGACTATCAGAAGCAACGCTCTAGCCACAAATAAGATATTCTAAACCTAGATGTTGCATTCGCTGAAAACTAAGTTTGTGACATAAGATTAAACAAATAACTGCTAATTACATTGTTTTTCTGTGTTTGTTAGCTGTCAGGCGGGCTGCAAAAGTTTTCCCTATTGTAGGGAGGGGGGGGGGGGGGGGGGGGGGGGGAGACAGGCAGTTTTGTCTGTTAACATTATTTTTGTTCTTTTAATTCAGGAACTGGTTTTGATCTTGTTTTGGACAGACATGATTAAATGTTCCGCTTTCTTTACACTGTTTGAAAGGAGGATTGTGTAATCTGTGTAGCAAAGTTCTCAAATAGGGTTGCAACCAGTCGTGAGTGGATCATTAATGTCACAAATCTGATCGTTTTTCAATATCTTATACTTCCTGCATGTATACTGAATAGGTATAATGAGAGATTGCGCCCCTGCCCCACTCCCTTTTGCACTTTGAACCAATCTGATGTTTCTCCAGCTACTCTGATGGCTGCTTGTTGTTTATTTTATACATTTTCAATTAAATGTACCAAATATGCTGGAAACTCCCACATCTCATGATACTGTACAATTTTTGAAACTGAAACAACAGAAGACTGATAGAACCAATAAAACAATCTTGGAGATCTATTTTCTTCAATTTTTCCCCCAAAAAAGTATTCTCATTCTAAAGAAAGATATAACCCTTTTTCCTATGTCCCGTCTGAAACCTACATGTGCTTCGTGTAGCTAACATTGTCATTTCCTTTCAATCCCTTCATAATTCAAAGATATGGTTCAAAAGTTAGAGCATGGTTTCAGATTTCTTTTCTTTGGGATAGGGGTTTAGATTTTTTTTTCTCCATGTTTTAGGCCAAATGGGGCTGTTCCAGATCTTTGTACACAGTGCACGGTAGATACAGACACTGGCTTCTGTCTGGATTGTAAAGGTTCTGGTTTTTTCTTACTTTCACATGTTTCTGATTTTGGATGCCTTCACAATTCGGCACTACTTCGAAAGGTAACTCTAAATGAAGCAATCTAATTTTTGTGTACGACAACCGCAAGACACAATCCACTGTTTGTGCAATTTCACATAAGGGTCAGCATTTAAATTTTTATATTTATTATAGATCGTGTCCCTTAGGGTCACCATTCGAAGTAGTGCCGACAATTCTTCAGTAATGCTTCTTATCTTTCTAATAATGTTTTTGCTTTTACATTATCATCTATCAAGTGTAATTATGGCCTGTATTCAACTGTTTATGTTCGGATTTCATTAGATAAGGTATAAAATTAAAAAAGTAAAAGTCCTTTTTCCACGCCTTTAGGGTATAGGGCATATAAAGTAAGCTGGTGCTTTTTTCGCATCTCGGGTTCTTCCATTCTATTGCAGGTAGTTAAATTAGTAGTTTAAACTCAACTGATTCTTGATATGCTTTCCTCTAATCACTCCTATAAATTTTTTTCGCTCGTGTAGTTAAACTACTGACGACACAGTTCTTTCCAACAGTGTACAAAGTTTAGAAGAATTAATTCTAGCCATCAAAAAACACAGCAGAGAAGTTAATTTTTTTTTATTTAAAAAAATAAAATTAGGTCTTCAGTAAATACAGCACACCAACCACGTATCACAATCGAAAATGAAGAAAGAAAATGTAACAGATCTTGAATACTTGAAAACAACAGTGGTGACTGCTCAAAAGAAGTCAGAAGACTTGCATTAGCAGTGCAGAGATTAAATAGCATGAAGAACCTATGGTAAAGCACTAGTAAATTGGTTAAAGTAAAAATTTTAAGATCATACAATTTTCCTATGGCAACTTATGACTGAGTCTCAGCCATTGAGGAAAAAGATTGGAGCTTTTGAATTAAAATGTTATAGAAAAAATTCTTAGAATACCATGAATCAGGAAGAAGGAAAAAGTCAAAACTGACATTCTGAAAGAGCTGAACATGGACAACTGGCTCATAAACAGCATCCTGTCCCACAAGTTGTATTTTGGCCACATCAAACGTCATGGTGGCTTAGAAATGACGGTAATGGAAGGTGCTGTTTGTGAAAGGCGAGGCAGGGGTTAACCACTGCGAATATGGATACAAGACATTGAGAGCACATGGGGCCGGAGAGCTGGCTATGGAAATGGACTTTGGCTCTACTTTGAACGGCGCTTTAAAATGGCGGCCGTAATGCCACATTCTGGCCATAAAATATCCAAAAAATATCCGAACGGTGTTCAGGCGTATTTAAAATGAACGGACTCTGCCAAGGGACAAATCACAGCAAAACTAGGATTATTTGATAATCAATATCAACATTGCACGCGGTAGAAGCAGACGACGATACTAGCAGACGATATTAGCGACCATTTCGAGACAGCTGCTGCTCGTGAGTCCCAGCCATCTAGTTTAGTCCCCATCCACGCCGCGCGTAGCGGCGCGGGGGATACGGTCGGCGGTGAGGCACACTCGCAGAAGCAGGTCCGCAAGTAACATATCGTCGAGACCCTGTTAGAGCATTTGTTTCGTTATACGGAGCCGGCACATATATTTTTAATAGAACTGAGCCGCATTCGGATATTTTTGATTTTATGGCCAGAATGTGGCCAATTTAGCTCATTCGAACGGCATCATATTACCGTTTATTACGGCCGCCATTTTAAGCAAGGCGCCGTTTAAAGTAGAGCCTGGACTTTCAGGCTTGCTGTGGAGAGAGCGACGTTCTGTAAAGGACTTGGTTGAAGAGTTGAACTAGTTTTTGTCCCTGTGTGTTTTAATTTATTCGTCTATTAGCTTTAGTGCCTTTAGTCTTCGCTGTTTTTACTACTAGAGATTTGGACAAATTTGGATTTGGTTGGGGAGAAGGAGGGAAAAAAAAATCAGTATTTAACACTGAGCTAGCCGTGATCTATCTAAATATAAAATAGCTCTGCTGCACCTATGCTCACATATTCAATAATAAACAGTTCTTACTCAGCAGCTTCTGTCCAATGGAACAGATCGTTCACCTAAACCAACGTGTTTTGTCTCCGACAGTATTGTGTTGTTGACATTGCAGGCTACTTTCGTTTCTTTTCTTTGGATATTTCCGGTTATCAACTTCCGGGTTCTTCCGGCCCGTCATAGAATTCTGTACAACTCGAGCACGGCCGGGTTGAAGCCGGTCTTGCAACTCACAGCCTCCTGTAGTTTTTTTTTTTTTTCACTTTTTTACTAGAGCCCGGCCCTGATGCAACTCAAGAAACTCACCCCACCTTGTGTGACTGGGTTGACGACCTATGCTCCCCATTAAAACGATGGAAAGTACAACCAAGGCGAAATTGTGAAAAAGAAAGGCAATCGACAAGACACGGAGTCAGTTATGTAGCACTATAACGTGAAAAATAAATTCAATTTACAAATTTCACAAGGAAGACTTAATAATCATTTATTGACAGTCTTGTGAAAAACAATGCCCATTCAGCATGTAACAGTCATAAAAATGTAAAATGTTTAAAAATCGTTTAAAAATGAATGAACATGAGATCCACCAAAAAAGTCATATCCAAACAATGCACTAAATTATGTTAAATGTGTACATGTTGGAGTGATTTCAACGGCATATCCGTGATCAACACATACATGTGGGGGAAAGTCTGATTAGGAACAACACTGTTGTAGCAAATAAATGTACTATCGCACCAAACAAAATAATCCAAATATGACAAGCATGTAGCTGTAGGAAATGTTATCTAGCATTAATCATAAATTGGGGAAAATTGATAATTATTGTTTGAGAGAAAAAAAACTAAAAAAAAAGTTTATGCTCTAAGAAACTGAAAAAGAGGGGCTTCCCCATCTCGGCGGCATTTATCAGTACACAGTACCATTTTTAGGCATTTTCAGCCACCGATATTGTAAGAAATTTAATGATATTAAGGCCGTTTTTTAGACATTGGTGAATGTCGTTTTTTAGATATTGGTGATTGCCGATTTTTCTTTTTATAATAAAACCGTTATTGACAGTATACAAGTTCAGACAAAATTTAAATTAGCATCCCCAAATTAAAAAAAAAAAACCTTCAAAATGTGCGTATTCATTGCCAAAGAGTACAAAGGAACAGTAGAATTATTGGTTTGAATGGAAATAAATGGCAATAACATACTATTTTTATGGAGAAGAAATGATTACTTTTAAGAATATTGAAAATACAAGTATACTGCATGCAGTGTAAGCAACAGGTGAAAGCTTGAAATGAGACCGCGATTCCATGTCAGCACCACATCCACGTCCAACGACATCTGTGTAACGTGTGTAGGTTCCAGTTGCTCATTCTGCATTCTTCATCAGTCTCTTCACAGCTGCTGTCTGCAAGAAACAAACAATTGTTACATGGATGAAAAATGAGTTCTAGATTAACTTACATAGATATCTGTGTGCCAGATTTTGCAAGACTAACGGCCACTTACAATAATAAAAGCGTGTGACAGGGATTTCTGTTGTCAGCATTTTTATTCTTATTGATTAAAGACTGAAGCTAACGACAAGTGGTGATTAATGCAAAGATAAATTTCAAATTAATCCGACGATGAGTAGTAGATTAATCCATTAATGTTCGGTAGATCAAAGATACCTGATGTGTTAACTCAAGAATTAGCCTGATTGCCCCCAAGTATTAACTCTAAGACATCGTTACAATCTTTCAAAATTTCAGAAGTTTTGACAATTAACCAGAAACCTAATGGGAGCCGAATGAGACCGCGGACCGCTAAAACAAGATTACCCATTTCTGAACCAAGGTAGACAACTTAAGATTTGTCAGAATAAGTACATCTGGAAAAGAACGGTAAACTGAAAAGCAGCCGAAAGGCAACTGAAACATCCACTGAGAATATTACTGAATGGCAGAAGCATAATATACACTAACAGGGAAGTGCATAGAGCATGACTCACTAACTGAACCAATATAATTAAGACTGGTGGTCCCCGTGTGGGTTCTGGGGCCCCATTGTGGAGGTGTGGGTTCTGGGGCCCCATTGTGGAGGTAAACAAGAATAGACCACTGCCTCCCTAAAAAAAAAGCATGACGTAGGTAGGAGTCTACTAATTAGGGACTTCCTACGAAGTCTGTGTGCATCTGTCTGAGCGGCAAGGATCAATGAATTGCACACAAATAAGCCAGTAAAACGGATATACACGCAAACGCAGACACAAAGTCAAAGTTCAAATGGACGAACAACCAGGACTTTCCGCCGGAACTTATAGCCGGTGAACAAAGAAAAAGACTGGTGGGAAAACATTACAATTGGATAGGCCTAGAGAACTACCAAGCAAGATTAAGTAATAGATTAGAATTATTTTACTGCATGTATTTAGAACTTTTCGGGCTGTGTTGAAAGTTGTAAGTAAGACAGATATACTAACAACTAATGTGAAACATGCAGTTCTTTGTTGGTATGGTACCAAATCTGTGTATACGTAGATTAAAAAAAAAAAATACAGACTTTGGCACTTTTCTGTTTTTAGTCGATAGTATTCTATTGTGCTACAGGAAGGCATAAGAATCAGCTCATGGTGAAAGACAGCTTTTTTATAGCCTAAAACCTGGGCAGTAATTTAGAGACTTGCCCATGCCACACGATCCTTGTTATCTGCCTGCCTTGCTTATTCCAACGTAAATACCAATCAATCGGTGTAGAATAAAACATTGCAGAAGCTGCTTGATCAAATGAGTGCCCTGTCTGTCCGGCTATCTGAGCTTCCATCCTAGATCAGCTGCCAACCAAGGCTAGGGGCCGATTAACCATCACCATATGAATTGGCAAGAGTACAACATTGTAAATAAGAATAACTAGAAAAGTAGGAAATTAATTTCAATATATTTCAAACAGAGGAAAGCCGCTTTAATGTAGCGGCTAGACGCTTGCCTGCGGATCCGAAGGTCGTGGTTTCGAATCCGAAAGGAGCCAGACTTTCATAAAAAAAAGTACCTGGCTCCAAGGTCGACCAGCCTTAAGTGGGTACCAGCCAAGTCATAGAAAGAAAAGGCGGCCGGCACGATGTTACACCAGCCATCGAGTGCGATTGGTCTATAAAATATAGGTCTTGCACTATTTGACCGATACGTCTGAAGGAGTGGGGAAAAGGTTCCTTTCTAAATGTGAGAAGAATATAAAATAGTTATTTAAAAAGGGTGGACTAAAAAAATGCATTTAAAGGAAAACAGTCCCGCCCCTATATATTTTTTTTCAAAGCCCCACCCCAACTGTCATTGTGGGACCTAAATATAACCGAACGATTAAACGGGGCTTCTGGGACTTGTACCCCGGCGATTCTCATCCGAACGATGGCACTTTGTGTCATCAAGTGATAATCGCTCGTTGTGCTTTCCTAATGGGGTTGAGGGTCGGTCGGGAAGACAACCCGCTGGAATTTATTGCAAATAATGGAATTCTGAAATAAAGCTTGCTTAATGGAAATCCAAAAAAATCGACGCCATTCCATTTGAAGAAATCACGAAAACGAGGCCTTATACAGTAAATCTTGTACACGCTAGCCACCCCTTAACATGCCTGTGGTAGACACTACCTTTTCGTGTATAACCTGCTCATTTCCACCCTTTTAATTTATAATTACTTCAGTCTAGTATCTGGTTCACTCATGTGCTGTTAGCTGGCAGTCCATGTCCTTATTCAGTAGCCAGCGGTCTAGGAATTTCTTCAACAGTATTGTTACCACAAAGATAATATTCTTTGCGTTCTGTTTCGTATGTTCAGATCAGACCATCAAGTGGGTTGCCTCTATAAACTCGCATATCAATAGCAGGTCCTTCGTGGTTCCCCATAGCTGGCTCTGCCCACTTTGCTCTTAAGGCCGAATGTTTTTTCGAAGTTGTATTTAGAGTGGGCAGGTCTGCAATGTGCTCAGGTGTGTGTGGTCCGGTTTGACAGGCATTGTGGGGACTACAAACTATTTTATACATGTGGTAGTTAAACCCCCCGACACTTCGATGAGGTACAAGGTGGAAGAGAAGAAGGTAGTTAAACCTACAGTGCCCTGTTCGTAGATGGAAAATGTATGTTGCTTTCTGTTCAGTTTGCTGATGGGGTCTTGTGGATGTTTGCTGTTTGTTCTCTCCACAATTCCTTGTATTTTCCCTTAAGTGTTCTGATTTCTGGTCACATAACGATATAAAACCCTACACAAGTCTGCTATCCTTTATCCATACATAATTGTGAGCATACACTACTTGGTGAAGCCGTCACGGGTACCCAAATATCTTCCTCATAGACTTGGCGTGGAATGAAACGAATCTGGGTCTTGCACTTGTAGATTTCTATTCAGGGTATAGTTCTTGGGAGTGCAAAAGTGATCAAACCCTCAGCTAGCGGCCCGGACAAGGGGGAAACAAATCACAAACGTTTTGCCGACTGGCGTGGGCGATTATGCCTTTCCCCAGTCTGCGATCTTTAACCGCATATACAAGTTCGTGTACTGACATTCCTCCATGCCATGATAAAAAGCTGTCAAGAATCTCCCCACGTTATCTTCCTGTCTTTTCCGCAAGCCTTTCTGGTATTTTTTTTTTTTTTTTCATATGAACAAAACAACTCATGTTTGATAAGTTGCCTTCGAACCCTCGCCTCTTTCAAAACATCTAGGTTTTTTTCTTTAGGGGTGGGGGTGGGGGGGGGGGGGGGGGGGGTTATGTGCAAGGAATTCTGAGAGATATGTAAAAACCTCACGAATTGGCTAGTTTATTGTCCAGGGAACTAATGACAACCCGCAATACTTCCAATACGATGTACTTTACAGCACTGCTGCGATATACGAGCCTTTCTGTCCAACACAGATTTCGGCAAACCTTCAGTCGCCTTGTAGGACATGTTGCCATAGGAGCAAATGTGTATACCCCCCCCCCCCCCCGCCCCTTTTACAAGACTCCGCCACCACTCCAACAGTGCCCAACACATGATACAATAAAAAATAACATTGCTAATTCTCACCTTTTGTCTAGATCCTGCTGTTGTGGACTTGCTGAGTTTAGGGGTTGCCGTTGCTTTAGGTGTAGAAGTTGCCTTCAGCAATTTTTTGACTGCTGTCTTTTTTATCACTGTCTTTGGTTCACGTTTAGGCGTCACTGGTTTGATTTTCGCCGTCTTTGTTTCGCTTTTAGGCGTTGCTGATTTAGCCTTAACTGTCTTTGGTTCACCCTTAGACTTTGCGGGTTTACTTGTCTTGGACCCACTTTTAGGCGTTCCAGGTTTAGTTTTAGCTACCTTGGCTTTGGACGAGCCAGTCTTTGCTGAACCTGATGTATTTAACATAGCCTTAGTCTTTTTGGCCACTTTCGCTGGCATCTTAATTTTATCTTCACCGCTAACGGATTTCTTTGCCTTTGGTTCTTTAGATTTGGTTTTATCCTTCTGTGAATGAAGAGCTCTGTTGAGTATAAAATAGCCTTTCATTCCAGTATCTTCTGAGGACTTGGGCCGTATAATTTCATTGCTCTCGGATCCTTTCACTAGCGCCTGTCTTAGTCGGGCACTGGAGAACGTTTCCTTTGTGTGTGGGTACTTTTCTGTTATGTAACGCTTGATCCCCTATTGGAGAGAAAATGGATGTCAATCAGTGCAACGCGAGGGATGGGGAAGGGGGGGGGGGGGGGTGTCAAGCCCAACACAAACTAGGTAGCTTCCCAATGAAATATTTTAGGATAGACATGAATGTCGACGGTAGTCTTCATAAATATTCTGAAGACTGAATTTATGCTAGCTGAAAATACACTATTAAATGAATCTCTTTCGTTAGCGTGGTCATGTGGGTTAGTGAATCGCTTTCCAAATTTGTGAAGAAAAACAAATGGCTGGTTCATTGACTAAAATAACGGACAGAATGGGCGATACACGTGCTGATAGGAAAAATGGATACATGCTGACAGAACAGTAATAACAAGCTAGATTGATGTGACGTATGAGAGTATTTCATTTATACTTCAGATAGCCACGGGAGACAAAGGTATCTATGAGTATGTTCGGCGTCGTATGTTCATTTATAAATCATCAGAGAAATAAAATGTAAATGAATTGTTAGATTAGCGATAAATTAAACCAACATGGTGGAATAAACTCAAAAGCAAGGAAGGTGAGGACAGGCCAGCCTCGTGCGGAGTGACATTCCTGGCTTCGGAGGTGTCAGTGGTGAAGAGCAATGTCTGGATCTTTTCTCTATGTATGCCGGTGTTAGAAAATGAACAGACGGACAGACTGGCTGGTTCTGTACAACTTGGTAGAATGATGCATGGTAAGACAAACGTGGTTACGGTCTTATGGATGCTGTGTACAATTTTGAACAGCAAACTGGTCATCACAGACTGGTGCGAGAGATGCAGAGAGGAAATGCGATGAAGGGATCTGGCCAATACTCCCATGTTCAGAGGAAAGGCCAGACGGACATATAATCAGACTGCCAATGGCACTGTTGGTATTGGAACTCTGTGGTGGCTGCTAAAGATGGAGACGGAGCGCTTAGGGGAATGCACCGATTTCTGTTCACTATAAGTTCTGATTGTTCGTCTGCTTCTGGACGTTAGTCTTGTTTCAGAACAAGCTCTGTGTACACATCCGTTTTACAGATCTGGCTTTGTGTGGAGAATGGTTTCTCACCTTTCATGTAGGTGCACTCTTCAAATGAAACAGCCTCGATAGACGCCCTTCCTGCTTGCGTTTTAAGGGGCAGTGGGTCTGTTTTAACACCCCCCCCCCCCCCCACCAGTATTAACGTTCTTGAAACCGCACATAAAGGACCTGGTTTTTGGACATTTCTGACAATTTTTGCAAAGATAACTGAAACATCGTTCTCCTTATCCTAAAGTTTTTCGAAAGAAAGTTGAACGAAGTCGCCGGGCATGTTATATATAAAAGAAATGAGTAGAAGAACGGCTTGTATTTCACGAAAATATAGGTTCTGAAGACGAAGAGAGTAGAGTTGCTAGAATAAATTAAAGAGGCAAGGAAAATATTTCGGCCATTTATAGAAACGACCATACTGGAGGGGAAACGATGGCAAGCGAGTGAGAGAGACGGATATACAGATGAAAGGATGGCATCACGAGATGGAAGAAACCAATAAACTCATTGAGTTGGTAATCAAAAGCTAAAAATCCACTTGCAGTTAAAAAAAAAAAAAGACATCGAATCGCAAGATTATAGATGAATGATCGAAAGAACAACCGCACTTACTTGCACCGTTAATCCTTTAGAGATTTTGTTATCTTTCAGGGCCTCCAGCACCATATTCAGCATTGTGGGATTCTGAGGCTTTGCAGCCTTCGGCGATTTGCTCAGTTTTGGGCTCTTCGGTGGTGCTGGCCGTGGACTTTGTGAAGCCCTAGTTTTAGAAGCCTGTGGGCTTTTCAGGGAAGCTTCCACCGCTGCCTGCTTGCGCTTTGGAATCGATTTAGCGTTGCTCCTTTTAGGCTGTTCAAGACTGGGAGCCTGATCTTGGAGACTTGTTGGTGAGTCTTCGGTGAATGTCACATCTGCCATTGTTGTGTTCTGGAAATGAAGCCGTATAATTATTCTTCAGTTAAATTTCTATAACATTCGATTTGTAAACTAAGAAAATAGACAGTGTGTAAAGTTTTTTTTTTTTTTTTTAAGTACCATTACCCTGCTGTGAACAACGGATAATTATCGTTCGTCTTCTGACCTTTACTCTTGTTCGACAGGAATATGTTGTGGGAATGTATGGGGGCAAAAAAAGGAATCAGCAATCATCTCAAATATTTGCAAAAGCCTGTACACACGTAGTAAATGCTGCATAAGATCGAAGGCAGTGTTATTAACTTTTATAGTGAACTCTGGTGTGTGTCAGGGCTGTGTACTATCGCCGCTTCTTTTTATAACATACTTGGATACCATATGTAGCGAAAGGAACTTTTATTTTTTTAATTAAAATATGGAAAGCTTCACACATTTGCGTGTCATCCTTGCGCAGGGGCCATGCTAATCTTCTCTGTATCGTTCCAATTTTAGTATATGTACTGCGTGAACAGTTACACGCAAATTCGTGAAACGAACTTTAATCATGAAGAAGATATTACAGAATTACTTTTCGCCGACGACCAGGTACTCATAGCAGAAAATACGGAATGCCTACAGAACCACCTAAATCAAATTAGTAACAAAGGGGAGGAATATAATATGAAAATAAACACTACGAAGACAGAGACAATGATGATAGGAAGACAATTTAGAAATTAAATTAAAAAACGCCCTGAGACAGAGGAATTTAAGTATTTGGGAGCAATTTTTACATCAGACGGAAAAGTGGACAGAGAAATTAGCTCCAGATGTGCCAAAGCTAATCAAGTAATGGGTCAACTATCTCCCCTGTTGACACACAGATACATCGGAGTACTAAAGTGAACCTTATAACTATTTTTTGTGGCGCGGTGATTTATGTCACAGGCGTGAGGGAAAGTTAAGTCCAACATGATGTGTATAAGGAGATACTCCGTACGTCACTCGGGCGCCAGTCTTTCACTATCCTGGATGTACGGAACATCACGCAAGACCCCTGCAGCACGTCCTCGTCGTGCGCCACGGATAATGTCTCAAATGAGCATTAACAGAGCTGTCAGGGGATCTCGGAGTTTGGCGGCCCCCAGAGGTGATGTGTCCTTGTGGCTCTCATCAGCCCGCCCCCAAACGCTTGGGTGAAAAAGGTTATCAAAACTCATAGGAACATGAGTATGTTTGCCAAACGTACAGCTTAAATTACAACCCTTGGTTAAAAGATTGCGGAGTGAAGAGAACATTGTTCACTGTACATCCTCCGTTAACCCTCAGTGTCGTCACCGCGCTGAGGTACACCACAACAGCAACCATCCATAGGCTTGCCATTCATGTACATCCTTGGTTAATCCTCTGTGTCGGCTCTGCATACATGGAAGCCTCCTTGGATGGCGGGGAATGCCCATGATCTGCCCCTGCCTTCCCTTGAGGGATAACCGTTCCACAGGGGGCTGCCCCAAAGGGGTACTCCGGGGGCAATACCTGCGGAGAAGGAGACAAAGTGGACACCACACAAATCAGGCAACGTCTCGACCCACACAAAACAATGGCCACAGTCATCCTAGAAATAGGCCTGACGTCTTCCTTCAAAGTCGGAGTACAGCTGCCCATGAGGCAGGGAACAGTAAAACGGTTGTACACGCAAAAATCAGGTCCAGGTGAAAGCCAAAAGTCCAAGCGGACGATTAACCGCGACCTTCCGCCGAAATTCACAGCCGGTGATCGATTAAAAAAAAAAAAAATTTTGGCCAACACTGCTATCAATGCCAAACGTGGACACTTACATCCTCCAATGAACGTAACATTGTGACAACAGAGATAAAATGTCTTAGAAGAGCTGCAGGAGTTTCAAGGAAAGAATACGAAATCATGAAACAGACGAATGCTATGAATAAAGTCAGTCATACAGGCCATCAAAGAACAACAAATGAAGTGGTTTGGACACCTAACAAAAATGCCCTGGTACTATCCGCCACAGCGAGCCACACTAAAACGTTACAACGGGTATAGAGCGAGCGGAAGACCTCGGAAAATATGGAGTGATGGCATTAAGAACAGCCTTACAGAAATGAACAGTCTTAATAGTGCTCATGACAGAGCTCATCAACGAACATTACATCCCCCCCCCCCCCCCCCCCCCCCCCCCCCCCCCCCCCCCCCCGAGACTTCGATGAGGTACAAGGTGGAAGAGAAGAACTCTTGTTCCAGGACAAGATTTGCGTGTACATTCGTTTTACAGATCTGACTTTTCTGGATACAGACTTGTTCCTTGTCTCTCAGGTAGATGCACTTGGACTTCGAAGGAAACCCCTTAGTCGATTCATACATGTTAGGCAAGTTTTGGTTGTTCATTCATTGCTGGACTTTGCTCTTGTTCCAGAACTACGCACACTTGGTTCTTTCCCTCTCAGACATCTTCACTCCAACTTTAAAGGCTCCCCCTTTCCCCATCAGTCACCTCCTACGACATGCTTGTTAAGGCCATCCCCCCTCCCTGGCAGATGCACTTCGACTTTAAGGGAAACTATCGCCTCCCACGAAATGGCCTGTGTGGGGAGGGGAAAAGAAGGGGGGGGGGTGTCTACTTTGTTATCCAAAATTGAGCCTTAGAACACACACGGGTAGAATAAAGACACGAGCCTATGTGGAAACAACAATGGGCAGAAAGACAGGGGAAAGGAAAGATATGAGTAAAAGTAAAATATTCTGCTGTATCGTTAGGCGTTGCAGGTTAAGATGTGACTGGTATTCAACCAAAGGAAAACTCGGTTGTCCGTTTTGCTGTGATATTGAGTCGAAAGGTATATCAGTGACCCCTCTATACCTTCTTAGTGGTACCCCACCTCGGTGTTTCAACTCTCGTGCTGTACGCATCGTTGCTGACATTGGATTCACTCTTTGAATATCTAAACTATTTCAGTCTTGAGTTTTTTTAAACATGAGTAAATGTGTTGGTCCAATATTCTTGTAATGTATTACTTTTTCATATGTCTTTATTTCAAGGCCTTTCTCATACATCTCATTTCGTAAATGGCCAGTTTTCTTTCGTGTTATTTAGTCATATGCCCAAGTCTGACACTGACAGCATATGGTTGTTAGGAAGAAAAAGACAATATGTCTTTGTCTATACTGGTATAATCGGGTGTTAAAAAACTCGGACCTTTATTTGGCCTTTAAAAAATTGCACCGTCAAATTAATAAAACGGAGAGTCATCGCTAATTTCTGTCCAGAGCAGGAGAATGAAGCAATCCTGGTATCCATCATCATCATGTAGCAGGTCCTTTGCAGAACGTCGCTCTCATCACGCACTGCCTGACAGAAACTCGGTCTCTCGCCAGCTTTCACGCCACGTGTAATTTCACATTCAAAGAGTCACTTATAACTTATATCAGGTGCCCATCTTCGTGTTTGTCGACCCCTGTCTCTCCTTCCTGGTACCATCTGCTATTATATTTCCTAATCCGCCATGCTCTTGACTAAAACATTTCAGCTTTCCGACACAAGATGCTGGTCATTAGACAATCTTCCTTGATGTTCAGATCTTTTAAAATTAACGTTATCCATTAATTATGTATACATTAATCAACAAAAGACAAGAAAAGAATCATAATTTTAAAATATTATTTCTACAAATAAATCATCAATCTTACCGGTGGCTTTGAAGTTTAGAAATTCTGGATCAAGCTGACGCTTTCTTCTGTTGATCGTCCTCTTGTTTCTCTTTGTCACGATGTCAACTGTTTGCGGCACGAGAGCATCTAGACATGTACACAGACAGTAAGGGATTGAACTGACCTGTATCCAGTGAGCAGTGGTCAGTATCCCCACGAGATTTTTTGAGAGGTCACGAGGAAGAGTCGGACTTTAACTCTTACCCTCTCGTGAGTTTAAATCAACGGAATAAATAAGTTTTAAAAAAATGTCTAGTCCGAGAATTCTGGGGACAGAATGATGTTAAACTGTCGATGTCATGAATAAGGCCGGTATACAACTCACCGAGCAATTCACCAGTGTCGTTTCCTAGCTAAGTGTGTACATGTGTGGCGTGATCGAGGGATAGAGAGATTGTGTGTATATATGTGCGTGTATATGTGTGCTAAACGGCTGCAGTCGACACCAGTTTTTGCATTAAAACAAACATGCCAAGCTGTGTACTTAACTCGTTCTGGCTTTCTCTCTTAAATTATTCTTTCCAAATTGGCGCTCCTTCAAGTTGTTACATAAAATCAATTTCCCACTTGTTACCTTACTTCACACTGTCCCGTCAAATTGTTATGTTCGACTTCTTCTTCTTCAACGGCGTTTACCGGTTGTAAACACCGATGGGAAGTTCTGATTGTTCGTCCCCTTCTGAACTTTAGTCTTGTTTAAGAGCCTAAGTTTTGCGTGCACATCTCTTTTACAGATCTTTGTGTGCTTCGTATACGGAAATTCTTAAGTACTCTCTTATTCCTCCTATCTGCCATTTATCGGACTCTCCTTTAGTTGTGGGCGATTTTGCATCAGACCGCTTTGCTTTTATTTTGACAATGGTATTTAGAATCGATCATTGAGAAAGCAATAGCAATCTGCTAAACGTAAAATTGCCTAGCAAAATCACAAAGAAAATTTTTTACTGGGTTTGGTTCGGCAAAATCCCATAAAGAATAACAACTAACTTTAACTATATGGTTTAGTCTGGTTTAAACAACTGATCAACATCACGGCTCAAGGGTTGTAACCCATAAGTGTTCCGTTCCTACTTCTAACTCTAACCTTAGTCCGAAGGATCTCAGCGCAGTGCACAAACTCCGTAGCACCGTCGAGGATCCAAAAATACTTTGGGTAGATTTTCAACTACACATTTAACTTTATTTCTTTGGGGGTGGAGGGGGGAAGGCTGCGTGGTCTCGAGACATGGTGTTCGCCTCGAGTGCTAGAAGTTCCGGGTTCAATCCCCGGTAAGGGCTAGGATTTTTTTCACGTGGAC